CCCCAAAACCCCAAAACCCCAAAACCCCAAAACCCCATATTAAGAACAAATAATTGGGATTAATAGTTTATAAAATATTCTTTATCAGCCGTCCATTTATGTTGTCCAAGCTTCAGCCAAGGAGACTAATCCAGGTATACAGAGTAATGAGAGCTACTAGAGTCTCAAGAGTCAGCTCTCTGAGGTACGCCAGACCTATTTCTGTATGCAATCTTCATTACTTTAATAAGAGATTTTCCTCAGAGAGTTATTTAATCAAGACCAATGATTATACGGAAGAAAAATTGCAGCGGCTGGAGGACCTGTACGAGATTTGCCAAAGAGATAGGGGCTACAACTACGATGCTTTCGAGTCATCAGCCTACAATTACTTCAAGGAACTCAACCGTAGAGGGAAATACCGGGTTGTAAAGAGGTTGTATGAAACATATCATCTTGAGCAGTCTCATACTCCATTTACAGAAAAAGTAGATGAGCAGTATAGATATGCTTTAGAAAACATCACAGCTCTTAATAATGCAGCAATGTCAGCAGCAATGGACGATGCCTCTTATAAGAACAAGTCTAGCTCCCAGAAGACTTACATGATTGTAGATTTCATCTTCAATATTTTAAGTGTTGGAGTCATTCTCTATGTTGGCCTAATCTTCTTAGGTAGCCTTGACTTTAAGTCACCAGATGAGATGGCCAAATTCGAGATCAAAATGGCTGATGATATTGACACCAGGCTCGATGATGTCAAAGGAATCGAAGAGATCAAGGACGAAATCAGAAATTTAATCAAAATGATTAAGGACCCATTCAAATACACTGAGAAAGGAGCCAAAGTGCATAAAGGTGTCCTTCTCTTTGGAGATCCAGGTGTTGGTAAGACTCTTCTTGCCAGAGCAATTGCAGGCGAATCAGGAGTTAACTTCATATTCTGTACTGGTTCTACATTCGATGAGATGTTTGTAGGTGTCGGAGCTAAGAGAGTCAGGCAGCTCTTCCAAACAGCTAGAGAGAAGTCTCCTTGTATCATATTCATTGATGAAATTGACTCTTTGTTAAGCAAGAGTAGGAGATTTGCAAAAGAGCATAGTTCTAATAGAAGCACTCTCAACCAAATTCTTGCAGAAATGGACGGATTTAACGAATCTGAAAACATCATCGTTATTGGAGCAACAAACCATGAGGGTGACCTTGACCCAGCTGCTGTTAGACCGGGGCGATTTGATAAGAAAATCCATGTGCCTAAGCCAGATCTTGATGGCCGTAAAGACATTCTCAAACTGTACCTTGAAAAGGTGAATATCACTGACGACATTGAAGTTGAAAAATTGGGTAAGATGACTCCAGGATTTTCTGGAGCCGATCTAGAAAATCTTGTAAACACTGCCATCGCTGATGCTGTTCACAAGGACAAGACCCATGCAGACATGAAAGACTTTGAGGAGGCCAAAGATCGTATAATCATGGGAATTGAGAGGAAAAATTTACATATAGGCAATAGGATCAGGCTGAACACCGCAATTCGTGAAGCAGGTCGTGCTCTCACCTGCTATTATACAGAAGGGAGCCAGAAGCTCTACAAAGCAACTATTGTGAACAGAGGAGCTAGCACTGGAGCTACTTTCACTCTTCCAGACGAAAGCGACATGATTGCATTATCCAAAGAGAAACTTCTTGCTCATATAGACATTTGTCTTGGAGGAATGGCAGCAGAAGAAATTATCTTCAAGGAATTCAGCCCTGATAACATGAATGCCATCAGCACTGAAGGAGGAAAGCATTTAGCAAGAGCCACTAATTTAGCCAAGAGTGGTGTCAGGGAATATGGTATGTTCGGAGAAGAAGGAAGCTCCTTCATCAGCTCTTCCAAAGATGACACTTCCGATGAGTTCACCCAGATGGTAGACCTCAAGGTTAAAGAGATCCTTGACGAATCCCATGAGAGAGTGCATAATCTTCTCAAGACAAAGACTAAGGAGATCGAGTTGCTCGCCAAGAACCTTTTCTGGTATGACTATCTCACTGAGGAAGAGATTAAGAAAATCCTGAAGGGGGAGAAGCTTGACAAGTACCATATCAGAGAATGGGAAGATGAGGAGGAATACTTGTTCCACTTTAGTGCTTCAGATGAGAATTCAGATCCAAGCTTGTCAAAGCCAGCAACAATATAAATAAGTTTTGATAATAAGTATTCTCAACTATTTCGATATTAGATGGGGTTTTGGGGTTTTGGGGTTTTGGGGTTTTGGGG